AAGGCAAAATGGCTGTCTGAGAAGTCCTTACAAACGGCTAAGAAGAGAAGTGAAAGGCAAAGGAGAAAAGGAAAGATATACCCATTTGAATGCAGAGTTCCAAAGAATAGCAAGGAGAGATAAGAAAGCCTTCCTTGGTGATCAATGCAAAGGAATAGAGGAAAACAATAGAATGGGAAAGACTAGAGATCTCTTCAAGAAAATTAGAGATACCAAGGGAATATTTCATGCAAAGATGGGCNGCCTCCTGAGAAATCTGTATGCAGGTCAAGGAGCAACAATCAGAACCAGACAGGCAACAACAGACTGGTTCCAAATCAGGAAAGGAGTACATCAGGCTGTATATTGTCACCCTGCTTATTTAATTTATATGCAGAGTACATCATGTGAAATGCTGGGCTGGATGAAGCACAAGCTGGAATCAAGATTGCCGGGAGAAATATCAATAACCTCAGATATACAGGTGACACCATCTTTGTGGCAGAAACGAAGAGGAACTAAAGAGTCTCTTGATGAAAGTGAAATAGAAGAATCAAAAAATTGGCTTAAAACTCAACATTCAAAAAACTAAGATCCTGGCATCCGATACCATCACTTCATGGCAAATAGATGGGAAAACAATGCAAACAGTGACAGACTTTATTTTCTTGGGCTCCAAAATCACTGCAGATGGTGACTGCAGCCACGAAATTAAAGACACTTGCTCCTTGGAAGAAAAGCTATGACAAACCTAGACAGCATATTAAAAAGCAGAGTCATTACTTTGCTGACAAAGGTCCATATAGTCAAGGCTATGGTTTTTCCAGTAGCCATGTATGGATGTATGGATGTGAGAGTTGGACCTTAAAGAAAGCTGAGTGCTGAAGAATTGATGCTTTTGAACTGTGGTGTTGCCGACTATTCTTGAGTCTCTTGGACTGCAAGGAGATCAAACCAGTCGATCCTAAAGGAAATCAGTCTTAAATATTTATTGGAAGGACTGATGCTGACGTTGAAACTGCAATACTTTGGCAACCTGATGCGAAGAACCGACTCATTGCAAAAGACCCTGATGCTGGAAAAGATCAAAGGCAGGAGAAGGGGATGACAGAGGATGAGATGGTTGGATGGCATTACTGACTCAACGGACATGAGTTTGAGCAAGCTCTGGGAGTTGGTGAAGGACAGGGAAGCCTGGCATGCTGCAGTCCATGGGTTCACAAAGAGTCAAACACAACTGAGTGACTGAACTGAACTGAACTTATATTAACAGTCAGACCACTGGAGGAGCAGTCCCATGGGTCAATTTGTTTAAGTCTCACTTTAACAGTATAGCAGTTAACAAGAGAGACCTAGAAAGAAAGTCTAAAGCAAAGTAGTCAAGGGAACAAATCTGCTGGTTTCAGAGTCACTCTCAAAACGGCTACACAACTTCTAATTCTGTGACTATAACAAGTTTCTAAACCTCAGGTGCGTCATCTATAAATGGGGATAACAGCAACACCTAACTTGGGGAAGCTCTGAAAGTGAATTAACACAGCCCAAGCAAAGTAACTGGGTTTCCCCAACGGCTGAACAGAAAAGAATCCACCTGGACTGCAAGAGATGCAGGAGACTCAGGTTCAATCCCTGGGTCAGGACAATCACCTAGAGTAGGAAATGGCAACCCACCACCCCAGTATTCTTGCCTGAAAAATCCCATGGACAGAGGAGCTTGGAGGGCTACAGTCCATGGGGTCGCAAAGAGTCAGACACAACTGAACAACCAAGCACGGACACAGATGAGGTAACTAAGACAGGCAGACACTGGAGATATTGCGGGTTCTGTCCCAGACCACTGCAATGAAGTAAACATTGCAATAAAGCAAGTCACACAAGCTTTTTGGTTTCTCAGTATATATGAAAATTATGCTTTATACTATTCTGTACACTATTAAATGTGCAATGGCATTATGTCCAAAAATAGGTGTGTGTGTGTGTGTATGTATATACACACACACACAATTAAAAAACACTTTATTGCTAAAAAATGATAACCATCATCTGAACCTTCAGTGAGTCACATCAAAGATCACTGATCATTGATCACCATAACAAACAAAACGAAAAAGTTTGAAATGTTGAGAATTACCACAATGACACAGAGACATGAAGTGAGCAAACGCTGTTGGAAAAATGACACCAACTGACTTGCTTAACACGGAGCTGGAAAAAATGAACTACCTGCGAAGTGCAGCCCAGCACAGTGCTACAGAACCAGGGCTGCCTGTGGGGCGCAGCGCAGAGGGAGCCTCGGAAAGAGGCCGTTGTGTTAAGGGCTCCAAGCTCAGCAGCATCTCTGACCCAACTCCATGCTCCATTTCTTCACAGCCAACCAACACTGCCTTCTACTCTCTTTCTGAAAGGTCACAAAACTCTCCCAACAACGGGCATTTGGTATGATGTTAAGTGAGGGAAAAGCATCATAAAGGCATATGGGAAAATTTTCTCATGTGCAAAACACAATTGTAATAACAAAGCAAGAGTGAAAGCGGAGAGAGAAGTATTAAAAAGAAAATGCACCAGAATGTTAACAATGACCAGTTACTCATGACAGAATTTTAGGTGGCTCTTTTTCTCCTTTTAACCTATCTTTTCCAAAGTCTTTCCAATGAATACATGCTTATTAAAGAATGTTTTCTGATTGTGAAAATCCTCTTCTATCCATTCTGGCTCTTGTTTTTTCCATGGCTGCCAACGGGTACTCTTCCAATCCATCTGGTATGCTTCTGCCTGTTTGATCTTCAAGCACCACTTTTTGCAAATCATCTCCCTGATCAAAAATCTTCAAGAGCTGCCTGGTCTCCATGACACAATGATCAACAACCTCTGCAGCCTGGGCCACTCCCAGGAGGCCTAGTTCCCCACTCTTCTCCAGTAATGCTCGTCTCCTTACTATGCCTCTTACCTGTCGGTGTATACAGGTCCCTTCCCTCAACCCCTCCTTACTGCCCCCTGACTCTTCTCCTGGCCTTCAAATCAGTCCAGGCCCCATTTCCTGTGAAGAACAAAGATAACAATGATAACCATCCCCATCTGCCTGGTGCCTTTCACACCAGCTCTTGGTCATGTGCTGACGTGCACTATTACAGTCATCTCAAGAGAGCCCTTTGCAGAAGGTTCCATTTATTAGCCCCATTTTACAGCTGATAAAACTGAGGCACAAAGAGGTCCAGCAGCCCAAGGTAACAAAGTCACAATCTGAATTCAGTTCTACCTCACTACCTGTCCCAGCCTCTACCACCTTCCTCTTCTTTCCTTCAACAGTGACAACCTGCATCACACAGCTGAGCAAGGCATTACAGGATTCCATACCAGACCCAGACAACAAGCTGCTGAAAATGCTAAGTTTACCAAGGGATATGTTTTTATTGTCCGAAGCATGTTTTATGAAACAGCTGCTTTTCTCTGCAAAGTGTTCCTAAAATTGGGGGCATAAAGGTTTTTTTTACTTAATTTTAACTGTATAAATGGTGGTGGGGTGGGAGGGGAATCTTATTTTTAAACAACAACAAAAAGCCTTTTTGAATAGGCTTTCCCTGATTTTGGGAGGGAAGGGATTTCTATATGAAATTTCGTATGTCAGGTATTTGCAGCTCAAGGCATTTCTCCCTTCTCTCATCTAGATGATCTTCCCTTCCCCCTCTCACTTACCTGCCCTGTGTGTTGCTAACTGCTACAGATAAATGCCTACATTCTGGGGGTGTGGCCCCTTAAAGAAACACACAGCTCCAACTCCCTGGGGGACACATTCCAGCCACTGTCAAAGAGCTTTTTAGGTATCACTTTATCACACACATTTTCAACACCACCCTCCACACTGACATTAATTCTTCCACAGTTTGAACATGATTTTTTTTATAAGACACTGCAAGCTCCTTGTTTAAATGCCCCAAGAATCAGAGTTTGTTATTATTCAGGTGACCTAATTTTTTTAATCACTTCTTCTGGTACAATAATGATTTCCTAGAGTTTTACTCCCCAGGAAAGCTCTATTCCCAGCTTCTGCCATCCTCTGAGATTACTGCCACTTAAAATAAAAGGAAGAACACCTTATGACATGTACTTTTTGTTTTTAATCCAATTTTGCTGTTCTTTAAGGAGAAAAAGAATAAGTGTTCTTATTTTCAAATGTATCAGTTTTGCTCACAGGTTTCAATCTTCAGCTGAATCAGTCAAGTTCATGGTTCTTCTTCCTGGGAGCCTGGGCCAGCATGTGGTGGCTGAGACTACCCTTACGATCAGAGAGAATGGCCACAAGTTTTCAAAGAAACTTCTATTAAACTGATTTGATTTATAAAATCAACTTACTCGATAAAAAATTCACCTATTATTTAGGTAAATACAAGATGTCCCTATTTTTCTCCTCATACTTTAGGATTTGCAAAAATTAAAATATAAGCAAGGCATTATACTTGCCAAAAAGTTAAAAAACAGATTGGGCAAGAAAAATAAGTTAAAACAATCCAAACTCTGCCCTCCAGCGACACTTTGTCTTCTCTCTTTCCTGGTTCTCTCGTGCAGATATAAAAATTATATTTGCAATCCCAATGACACAAAAAACATTCAAGCACCATGTGTGGGGCCCTCCTCCACCAAGCACTGTACATGGACCGTCTTGTTGGATCCACGCAATAGACTAGAAGAGAGGAATTACTACTGCTCCCATTTCACCGATAAAGAAAAGAGGCTGAGCGGTTAGGGACAAGTGACTTGAGCTGTGATTTAGTAACAACAGCGGCAAGCAACAGAGCTGAGTTCAGACGCGGGCACCCTGAATCCAGGGCTCACACGAGAACAGCAGGCCAAACCACCACTTAGGATACACACAGTGCAGGACAAGGCCTGAGCACAGAACCAGACCCAACAGTGAATCGCCGTGAAAGGGCCCTGACGACGACGTTACTGGGCACTCAGGTGTGAGGGTCCTTACGACACAGAAGATAGGAGTGAGCTTCACATTGAAGCCACCGGGCAGTTACCTCAGGGGCGCGGTAGGAAACACACTGGAAGACCCAGTCCATGGCAGGCGAATACAGGGGGAGGTAGGACGGAAGCTCCACGCCTTGGAGCACCAGCTGGTTCTGGACCGTGTCCCCGTGAATCTACAGGAGACCAAACAAACACTCAGAAGAGGAGGGGAAGTCACATAACAAAGAACATGTCTGGCCCCAAGAGAAACAGCCTGGTTTCTCAGGTTTTTTTAAACTAGAAAAAAACACACACAGGTTCCCAGGTCACCAGGCTGAGCTGTTCTGGGAATGTGTGCTCTGACGAGAAGTAACCTGATAAAAATGGACCCAGCAGATGCTAAGAAGAAAGTTTGATCAACCGGAGACGTTTCTTATTAACACATGCATATCAATGCTCTCTGCTTGTTCAGTACAATCAACACATTTTAATTGTCTGTAACAGATGCGAGTGCGATTTTCTAGGGTTTACACATCTAAAGAGCTTTAAGGCAATCTCGACTTGGAAAACCAACTGGGTTTTATGAATCTGTGATCATGTAACTATCACATCAATTGGTTTTTCTGATAGTGTTCTCTTACCTGTTTGAATGTGAGGAGGAAGTCAAAAAAGTTCTTATTTAGGCTTTCTTTGAGATGTGGAGCCACTTCCATGCCCACCTGTAGCCAAACAAAAGGAAGTAAACTTGATGGTGGAAAACCAGGTTGCAAATAACATATACAGTGTGATGCATTTTTGTAAATTAAAAATATACATATAGGCAGATATAAGCATAAAGAGGTACAGAAAGTTAACTTTCATTCTTTTTATTTATTTTCTTATTCAACAAGCATATCTTGCTTTTATAAGAAAAACCACAAGAGCTATTTTTAATTAAAAACAAGGGCAACATTTGCAGTAATCATCTTCGCAATTTCCCAAAGGTAATGAAAGTATTTCTGAACAGATGACCAAGGGAACAAATCAATACAGCACTAAGGAGAAATGTACTCTCAAGACGGTGCATACGACATTCTTTTCCTCTCTAAAAAATGATAAACACACATGTGGGTGTACTTATTAAATGAAGCAAAAAGATTCTGGTATGTAAGAGAGTCAGCTGGGACTTCACTGTTGCATTGTTAAAATACATAGATTCATTCTTTGCTGGGCAGTCAGGGAAGCAGACATAAATTCTGATGTATTTTAAGCAAATTTTTTATTACACAAGCATGAAGCCTAACAAAGCTATAATCCATCGACTCCTTCACTCATTGTTTTAAAAAGATATGTAATATTTTCATTTGAAAAACATTTGCTAAATCACAGAGAAGGTGGCCAGGGCTCTACAGTCGAATGAAAAAGTAAAGGTCGCAAATATGGCAGGGACTACATGAATTTAAAACAAAGCATCGTGAGGTTCCTTAAACTGAGTTCCTCAAATACACCTCAATTCCACACAGCTGCTTTAGCACAAAAACAACTTTGTAAGAGGAGCTGCTTTCTGGGACCTGGTTTCTTCCAAGGAAGACAGATTTCTACCACTCACCTCCCCCCAGATACCCAGAAGTCATGAAGATTAACGATAACAGTGTTTTTTAGATGTCTGTAAGGAATTCCTTTGAGGAAAATTATGCAAGATCTACTGGGGCGGTAAATTCCAGGGGCAGCTCTCTATAGCTGTTGGAGATGCTTCCAAGGACAAGTGCAGGGATTTTAAAAAAATACTAATAACAAACGTCAGATCCACTTTTACTGCGTTCTGACTCTATTGTCTCCTTCTACTAATCATTTCGTAGAAAAAGCAATAATTACCTGTTAGGCGACAGCAAAGAAAAGGCCCAGTGGACAAGCAGTGGAGATGAACTGAAGGGGTTGTGACTTAGAAGAGGAGTTAATCATACTTTCCTTTAATAAACAGCTCTGAGCACCCCCCACGCCCGGCCTACTCACTGCCTTTGTGTTTTGTTTATCTCTTTCCATAAAACCAAATGAGCAACTTAGAGATCTGCTCAGGTCGAAAAAATTTCTACCTAGAGTAGCAAGGGTAGTTACTCACAATATCCATCTGCTGTTTCTGCCTGCCTGGCACTCATTCTCTCTGTTTCTGAAATCAGCAAAGCAGACTTGTCTTTGAGGACTCAAACTTACCTCTCAGACAAAGAGGTTTGTGGCAGCTGGACCCAGCCAACCCAAGGTTGCCAGGGTGGGCGCATGACCCAGGCTCAGTCAGCAGGCATTTCCCATCCCACGGTCACAGTGACTGCTATATCTACGGGCTAAGGACCCAAGGTGGTTCCGCGAGATTCTGCCTGGAAAGTCTGGCTAGAACCACTGAGGAAAAGACAATCTTGTCGCTGGGGTTCCTGAGTCGAGAGGATGGAAGCCTTTCCACCACAGGGAAAGAGAAAGCTGTAAGCTGAAGTCACCTAGGGGAGAGCAGAGCTGAGCCACGAGGCCGCAGACAACCCCTGGGGGTGTCTGGGTTCGGGGTCCCTGGGTCTGCCATGCCGGGACTACCCCGGGCTCTTCAGATGCGAGCGCCAACAAATCCCCAACCTTTGCTTCAGAGCACTATGAACTGGGGTTGTGCCACTTGAAATTGAAAGAATCCTTACTAATAANGAAAATAACCATTTCTTCAGCACCACGTGCCCCCCCCCAAGCTCCCCCAGGCATCCCCAGATCTCAATCAAACACACTTGGTACACATTTTAAACTCGGAGCACAAGACAGCCCGTGGCTCTGGAGAGTTATCTAGATGGTGGCCAACGCCACTCAGAAAGCAGATCTGGTTTCTCCTGGTTCCGCAAAACTACTCTCAAAACAAGGTCCGAGGTGGCCCAGAGTAGTGGGGGGCTCAGGGAAAGGGCCTTTCGTTCTGACATCTCTGACCTCTTCATCATCTTGGATGGCAGCCACAGACACTGAGAGAGGGCCCATGGGTGCCACTCCGAGTGTGGTGTCTGCAGCCCGATGAACGCACACAGACCCCTTCACAGTGCTTGTTCACCGAGACGACCAGGGGTCAGAGATGCTAAGTAACTTTCTCTGGACCACACAGCCAGTAACAGCAGAGCTAGGATGTCAAATCCAGTTATCTTCCATGAGCGAGTCAACCAACCTCTCCCACCTTGAGTTTTATTCTCCATAAAATGGAGATTAAAAAGTGATCTCTACTTCATTTGGATTAAATGAGAAAATGGATGGAAGGTGCTTAACACCAGATCAGCTACACACTAAGCATCACAGAATGATAGCTACTATTGCAGCGCCATTCGCAAGGGCTGTGAGAGACAGAAATTTTTTGGAAATGTATGGCTCTGGACATTTAAGAAGAGCCTTACGTTTTGGAGAGGAACTTGTTACACTTCAGGATGGAAGCTTCCACGTAGCTACAAAAACATTCTGTTAAGGAAGACATTTTCCAGACGGCCTGTTCCCTACGGGGAAAAGCCTAACTGTTCATGGAGAGAACTAGGTGTGTCTTCAGGAGAGGGGCCACAACAGCTCTCGACAATCCAAAGAATGAAATCAGCGAGTGGCTTGTGGTTTCTACATTTGGTTTTCAAGGTTTTATTCTTATTTAAAATAAAATTTGGAAAACATTATATGCTGATTTATGATTACGTGCTGAAATTTAAACTGGGTTTTGAGCACTCCCAACTGAGGTTTTATGGGAAAAGGATGAAACTTAAGAGAACTAAGATTCCTTTTGTGTATAAGTCAAACTGTCTGTCCTTCAACACTGGTGTTTGTGCAGATAAGCTGGACCCTGCTCCTTTCAAGGTCTTGGGACCAGGGAAAACATACAGACACACACACAAAAAACCCCAAAGCATTTTAATTGAGAAAATTAATATGGGAATGTTCTTCAGGGAAACAAAAGCCTGGTACACAGCGCCACAATCAAAGTTTAAAAACAGAGAACTGGAGACAGCCAGAGTCCAAGGGCATCTTGGACAGTGTGGCTGGCGCTGGGCTTCCAGGCGAGCGACCCTAACAGGACCCCATTTTCAACAGGAATCTCAGGGCAGCCCATCGCATGGCCTCTATTAGCAGTGCAATCCTGCAGCCTATCTTTAAAAGCATCAGACAGAAAAAAAGGATACAATCTTGGAATGAGCTCCCTGATGGAAGCAATCTTGAAAAACCAATTCAAGCATGTTTCCTTGGCTGTGTCATTTACATTCTCTGGAGAGAAGTGATCTGTAAAACAAAAATAATACCCATGAGCCTTCCTAATTCCTGGGATCTGTCACAGCTGCTCTGAGTCCCGGGACAGAAAACAGTTACAGTGCGGCAGAAGGGGTGGGGCACCCGGCCCTTCCATGGCTTTCCTTCCAAATATCATAGTAAGGAAACACCTGGAGACGAGGATGACTGACACACAGAGGCTTTCTAAGGGCCAGGTGCCACTCAGAGCGCTTTACAGACATCAGCTCACTCAGGCCCCACAAGGGCCCTCCGAGTCACGTACTCTTACGGTCCTCTTTCACAGACACAGGGAGTGAGGCACTGTGAAGTTGAGGGATTTGCCCAGGGCACACAGCAAGCAGGCATAAGAGCTAGAATTCAACTCAGGCAGTCTGGCTCCACAGCCTACTATATTCTTAGCCACTGCCTCTCATTTAATTCAGAGGCTCTTGGTGTACCTACCAGTAACTACGGTGATATTGCTGAGAATTCCAGATGCTTGAGGAACCTGCAACTATAACATGAAATGCAATGGAAGTGTGTGCTGTAAACATTACATGGATCTGATGTGTATGGTAAGTCAAGACCCTGAGGTGAGAAATCAGACACAGTTAGGCTGCCAGTTCAATAATATCACTTGAAGACTTGAGTCACCTTGAGACAAAAATGCCACTTTCCCCTACTCTCTGCTCTTCCCCTTTAATAATAGGACTCTCATTTTCTGCTGGGCATACAGCCATCTTTGCAGCTCAATGTGGCTATGTGACCAAGTTCAGGTCCCAGGATATACATGGGAGTGCAAGGAATTAGCTCCAAGGGAAGGGGCTTGATCTTCATTTCTTCTTCCCCCTTGCTGGCAAGAATGCAGATACAAAGGCTGGAACCTCCAAAACCATCTTGAACCACAAGAGCAAGACAGAAGTCAGGACGGCTGGCACCACAGGCTGGCTGCCAGCTGTGATTCTCTTTACTGAGATTTTGAGTTTTCTGGCACTGATGACCAAGCCCAATCAATGACATACATCTTAGTAAGAAATGGAAAAGAGTACGGAAAAATGAAAACAAAAACAAACAAGAAACTGTTCAACACCAAGAAGGCTACTGTTGAGCTCTCACATTTAAATGATTTCTGCACAAACTGGAGCCCGATCCCACCCCTGGGATCGGGGTGTGCCTTACACTTTTAGGATTCAACCAAAAAGGGAGAAACTGATTACTACAGAACATAAGAAACGAATGTTAGCCTGTTGCCCTCATCATGTTGCTCAATGAGTCATTTTTCATCCCTGGTTCTACTTTCTGCTACTTGGTGGTACACCATTAAAGTCATCAAAATATCTATGGAATCAGCAAAAAATAAAATTCTAGGTACTTCACTAGCAAAGAACAGTCAGTAATCACAACTGCAGATATTTCAGAACTGCAATCTCAAGGATTTATCTATTTTTGGATGTTCTGGCATGCTTCATTCATTGGAGAATTATTCACTTGCTATTTTCTAAGAGAAGTGAAATTACCATTTTTCCTTTCCTGGCCTGAATCCATGTACTTAAAAGTAACTTTTTTCAAGTTCCAAGAGACCTAGATAGGAAAAGATAAGGGCTATTCTTAAATTCATTTGTCAATCTTGCTTGTGGAAAACAGAGGAGGGGTGGGGTTAATTTCCCTTAATGTGACTGAATCATGTGACTTGAGACCCAAAAGCAAAAATAAGTCTCTGAGGTCATCTACTAAAAACTTCTGCTTTCCAGTTGAGGGAACGGAGGCATAGCAAAGGGTGGGATGACACGGAATCGGGCTGCCAGGGAGAGTGGGACATCACACCAAAGCAAGTTGCCCTACGTGTACACACCAACAGCCAGTTATGCAATAATCCGCATATGCAATACAAAGGCTTTTAGATTTTCCTNAGGAGCTCCACTTCAGCTAAAGCTCCTAAAGGCAAAGGGCTCAAACACTCAGACCACAGTCTGAGCTCGATTCAAACGGGAAGGACCAGTGCACACGCCGCCAGACTTCTCTCTACACATGATTTCTTTAGCCAGAATTCTGCACAGTAGATTTCAAAAGTTTTCTTCATAATTATTGTTAACAGGCATCCCCAAGATTAAAGACATTTTCGAGAAAAGTTTGCCCTCTCCTTTTCAGGTTCTAGGAAACAGAAGATACATGCAGATAAAGATTTTAACTGAAAGGGGAGAAATGAAATTATTTTCAAGAAAACAAAAGCCCAATTCAAGGTTAAAAAACAACAAGTATTTAGGGAGGCATGAATTTAGTAATAAACATGCTAATTAGCACATTTAGACAAGAACTAAAAGTGAATATGAAAACAGCCTTTTATTTTGAACTTTTATAGTTTTATACTTCAAGTAGGGAGAAAGCTATTAGTAGTTCTTCCTTGCGTGCATTCGTACTAAGTTGCTTTAGTGGTGTTGGACTCTTTGGGACCCTATGGACCCACCAGGCCCTCTGTCCATGAGATTTTCCAGACAAGAATACTGGAGTGGGTTGCCATGCCCTCAGCCAGAGGATCTTCCCAACCCAGGGATCGAACCCGCATCACTTACATCCCCTGGATTGGCAGGCATGTTTGTACCACTAGACCCACCTGGGAAGCCCAGTTTTTCCTTAACTAGCCCTAAAATGTTGTTTGTATAGTTAGTGAAAACTGTCAGGAAGGAAAACTATTGTGGTAGGTAGGAACATAAATCTCCCTAAGGGCCAGGCAGGTGATCTAAACATTTCTAATCAGTTAGGTATACAACAACAGGAAGAAGCAGAAACTATACCAAATAGCATTTTAAAAAATACTCTTGTAGCCAAAGAAAACAGCTAACTGGGTTTAATTCTGCCTGCGGGCTGAGAGTTTACTGCTGCTGATACAGCACATGGAAGAAACACTGGCAAGTGTAAAACAAATGCACCAGATTTGCCAAATCCTTAAGGTGACAGAGAAGGCCTTTCCATCAGGCTGGCCCCTGCCTCCCAGTCCTCAGAAGCCTAGAATGTGTGAGGAGCTGTTAAAAACCACAGCAGGTGGGAATGTGGTGGAGGGGAGGGTGTAATGCAGTGCTATCCAATGGAAATGCCATGTGAGCCCCATTCAAAGAGCTAAAACAAAAATGTGTAATTTTAAATATACTTCATTTAATCTAATTCATATAAATATCATTTCAATATGCAAACATGTAAACTTAAAAATTAGTGAGATACTTTATGGTCTCTTATTTGCATTAAGCGTCTGAAATCCAACTTTTTATTTTTTTTTAATACAGCATATCTCAGTTTGGACTGGTCAATCTCTGGTGCACAAGAGCCTCATGTGACCAAGCGGCCACCATACTGGATGGTGCAGGTCCAGCACTGAGAGCCAGGCTCTCACTTGCTGGTGGCAGGGCTGGGCCAAGTTCCTGGCTCTTCCCCACGGGTGGGCCCCCCCTAAAATGAGACGAGGCGATTCCAAAGAGCTTTTCTAGCCCTAAAGGTCTGTAGAGTTCTGTCTTGCTTTCTGAGAAATGTGCATATTAACTAGTTTTAACAACACAGATGATGGAAGGAAAAGAAGAAAACAGAAAGAGAAGAGAGAAAAAAAGAGACAATAAAAGAAACAGCAAAAGACAAAGAGATGGAGAGAGAGAGAAAGACAAAAAAAAAAGAAAAAGAAAACCAGAAAGACAAGACAGATTAACAGACAAAAAGAAAAGTCAAATTACAGGTCTGTGTGATACCATCTCTTCATCCTCCAGGGAAGCAGGAGCAGGAGGAGGTGGGATGAAAGTGAAGACAGCCTGTTGTTCTAACTTGAAGAGATAAGCGCACTTCCTCCCAGCAGTGCTAGGAACTCAGAAGGAGGAGGAAGAGAAAATAGATGCTGTTGCTTAGAGTTCCATACTGCTAGCCTCATTGTCATCTTTCATTTATGTGACAAAATAAATTTGTGGTCTCATTGTCCCATTATAACCTCCTGAGAGTTCAAAACTGAGCAGCAATAAATTTAATGCAAACATCACTTGGGCATATACTGTAGATTCAAAGCATCTGTTATTATTGATTTATTTGACATTGTTCTTTAATATAAAATTAGCTCTACAAAGCAATTTTCTTCTCAGGAAAAGATATATAGGGAAAATATTAAAATGTCAAGCAGCAGAGAAATTTAAGTTGGTATTAAAGTTCAGCTGAATCTAATCACGGACCTTTTCATTCTTGCAGATTCAAATTACTTGCTAAAATCCCTAGCTGGGCAGTTGAAAAAATCTTCTTTTCAAAGACTGGGATGATCAGAAAACTGTAACAGTGTTTAACTTTTAACACACAAAAACTTCAGGTCTCAATAAATCCTGACTTGATATAAACCTCCTAACCCTGACTTGAGGACAGAATGAAAACCACTGGAACAGCTATGATGTTACCTGGTAAGACGCTGCGGTTATCCACACACATGGAAAAGATACGCTCGTACACCAGCTTCCCTGGGGAGAAAAGGACATATGGTGTCAGCATCATGCCTTCAGGTGCAAACACTAAATTAACATTTCTTAATTAGGGACAGAGATGGAGACGTCGCCAGGATGAGCTTCAACTCGTGGGAGTGTGCTGCCATCTGGTGGCCCAAACTTTTAAGCCATGATTCTTTCTGATTTTAATTAAAACAGGGAACTCAGACTGTCTGTGAAGAGGCAGAAAAGTGACCCTTCACTTTCGCCAGGCAAAATAAGTCAGACAGAGAAAGACAAATACTGTCTTTCACTTATATGATTTCACTTACGTGTGAAATCTAAAAACAAACAAACAAAAAAACATAACAGAGAGTAACAGACACAAAGAACAAACGTGGTTGCCAGGGAGGAGGGGAAGGAGAGAAACACTGAGAGATAAATGAGTCGTGGGCATGAAATGTAGTTATAGGGAATATAGTCANCACTTGTGGAACATAGACCTTGCCTCTGGGAACTTCTGGGGAGAATTTTAATTGGGAGAATGTGCAGGAAACACATGATGTCTGTCTCCCTCTAGGAACTGGCAGGGTCAGTGTCAAAGTAAGGTGCTCAGAATATGTTAACTGTTGTCACTATTGTTGACATTGACCTCTAACTGTTGTTGACAAGAGATCAAAATATGCTTGTGTGGAGTCTGTCCTCAGAGGTTCTAATGTAAATGGTCTGGGGCACAG